GCCGGATTTTGACCGTTTCACTCCGTTCTTTCGCCATTTCCCCACTATACAGCGCCCTACTAGCATTTTAGGCTAAGTAGGAAACCATCGTGCCAACTGCCTTTAAAGATGCTTCCCGCGATCATGTTATTAGCGAAATGCCTCCGTGCATTTGGCACACGGCACGTCATTGGTTGGGAATTTTGGTCAGGACCGTACGACCCCCTCTAGAGTGGCGTGATTCGACTGCCGTCTTCATACGACCCCAACTTCCTACCACTTTTTCCAAAATTTCCCGAATATTTTCCTACTTTTGCCCGAAAAATTTTGCTGTCGAGCGGAGGGGGGGGGAGTATACTGCACATAAAACAGGAAAACCACGAAAATCAGCAACATTTCAAACTCTCCTACCAGAAGGTTAGAAGTGAAATACGACCCTCTTCACACCGTCCTTGGAACAAGTAAAATCAACTATCAAAAAACCTTTTCTCAGTCCAAATACGACCCCCCCCCCTGTTAGGGAACCCTCGACAAAAATATGCCGTGGTAGGAAAGAAGCGAAAAAAGGTCGAGAACCCCCCGAACACAGACCCTTTGCAGTGGAGCCGGCGACTTGGAGGAGTTTGTCGGAAGTCAGAGAAGCCCAGTTAGCAGGATTTGTTGCCAGCAGGAGCATAGGAAATTGCCCTGCGACGCTCCAGGCAACACTATGTGCACACGCTATTCCGTTTGCTAGCCATTGTCTCACAGAGTTACAGTACGCGGTCGGCCTGTTGCGAAACTCACGCCTCTAGCTTTGTTGTTTCGCCATTTCGAAGGACGAAAGTGGTACATTCTCTGCGAAAGCGGTCAACGATGCCAAATCAGGGCACATCGTTGTTGGGGATTCTCCAACAAGTTAAGTTTGGGCGCTGGTAGAGGGGAGTCGTATTTCGGCCGAGAAATACTTATTTTGATAACTGAATTTTCTTGTTTCACGGACGTTTTGAAGGGGGGGGGGATTGCTGACTTTCTTATTTATTACTCGCATTCCTCGCAGGCGGCTTTTCCCGTTTCACACCCTCGCTCGACAGCTCGAGTTCGAAAAACGAAGCTCTTCAACACTTGAAAGGTAATTTTGGATATTCGTTCTACGATGGGGAACTCGAGACAACAAGAAAATGACCACAGGTACCAGGGACAAAGATCTCAATCCCTTACTTGAACTGACTTCAGTTACCACTTTTCGTATTTTCCGAGTGATGCATTAGTACTGTAAACGGGCATTAATCAAGAGCTGTTGCTGAGTAAACTGAGTATGGCCGTGAGTCCCAACCGAAAACCAGAGTTTTTCCAAGTGCTGTCATCGCCACATGCGGATTGCTTTTGAGTAGAAAGACGCACAGCCATCTTGAGCGAGGTTCAGAACTGACGTCCGCCATCCTTCAGGGTCTATTACAAAAGACAGTGCTAGTCGCCCTTGCTGTACTTTTCACCAGCCCCTATAACCAGCCCTTCCGGCAACACATTGAGACCTTCTTTCCATGCATATCTCCTTCACCATTTAAAAACAGCCTTTCCCTTCGACAGACCCAATCAAGCTTAAGTGCATGGTTTCCGGTGGCAGCCTGGTTCGTTCTCGCCCACCGATTGCCATGGACTTTGTGCAGGGTGCTGCAAAATCTGAACCAACATTGCACCGAGATTGGCGCAACTCATGAGCTATCCATCTTTTCTGACAACCGAGACTGTCGGTTTACTCAATGCAACAGGAAGTTGGAGTCAGCTCACGGATATTTGGGTAGAGCGTCCGGGACGTTGTGCGAGGATATTCTTTAAACCCTCACAAATTCCTATCCGCAGCCTCAACGTGGCGTGGGGGTGAACGGTTTGGACTGTTCCAAAACCGTACCAATGCGGAGGGTGCCACGTCAGAGCCTGGCGAGCTACGCGTGGTTAAATTTCTTCTCGCCGAAAACAGTAATAATTATGGGCCTCATTCCCCTGAACCTGAGGGAACCACCGACAGGGCGACGTCGGCTGGGACCGCTCGGGCGAGGCTGCAAGAATCACAGGGCCGGAGATTTGAGTCGCCCAGGACTAGGATGACGATCTGTACTTTCAACGCACGGACGCTTGCATCGGAAGCTCACATCGAAGATCTGATGTTGCAAGCCAGGAAGATCAAGTACGACGTCATCGGACTGACCGAGACGAGGAGGCATCGCCCGCTACACGCCGTATACGAGACTGGAGAAGAACTGTTCCTCGGAACATGCGACAGCAGAGGCGTTGGCGGTGTGGGCGTCCTCGTCAACACGCACTTGGCCATGAACATCGATTCGTACGAAAGTCTGACGACCCGAATCGGACGTTGCGATTGAGAAGATGTGGTTCAACTCCAGCTTTGACAATCTTCGTCGCCTACGCACCAACATCAAGCTACGACGAGGATGAGCTCGAAGCGTTCTATATGGAATTGGAGAAGTTCTACAAGGAAGATCATACCTTCTTCAAGGTCATCGTCGGTGATTTCAACGCTAAGATCGGACCAAGAAGAACGGCTGAAGAACTTCACATCGGAACTCACGGAACGGAGTGGAATGAGCAGGGTGAAAGGCTGTCTGAGTTTATCATGTCGACCCATACCATCCATGGTAGTTCCAGAAGCCCTACTCTCTACGCTGGACATGGGAGTCTCCTGGTGGACAATTCCATAACGAGATCGACCACATCATCTTCAATCGAAGGTTTTGCCTGACCGATGTCGCTGTTGTTCCCTAAGTTCTACACGGGATCCGACCACCGTCTCCTTCGCGCAAGATTCCGCTTTTCGATGCGAGGAGAGAGAGCCGCAAAGTTCAAGAAGCGAAGCCCCAAGACCGTCATCAACTGGGATCACTTCACTTCTCTCGCTGGGCTCTGGGAGGATTCCGTCATCGACAACATCGACGAGGAATACGAACGGCTTGTCGCACATCTTCACGACTGCGCCAAGAAGTCAGAGAGTTCCAAGATTACCAAGAAGCGTCTATCTCTGGAAACTCTCGAGCTGATTCGCCAACGTGGAGCCGCACGAGCCGCAGGCAATTACCAGCTGACGTCTGAGCTTGCGAAGCTATGCAGAGAAGCGATAAAGGAAGACCTCAAGGAGAGAAGAGCAGCAGTACTGGTGGAAGCCGCAGAGGCTGGGAAGAGCATACGCAACGCCCGCCGCGACTTCGCCAACTGTAAGACCAAGATGACCGCCCTCCGACGTCCGGATGGAACAATCACCGCATCCAGAAGGGCAATGGAGAAGGTCATCCACGACTTCTACTCGGATCTCTTTGACAGCCACGTCCACCTGCAACCATACCGCTTGGAGCAGGATGGATATGCAGTTCTCCCTTCCGAAGTCCGACACGCCATCTCGTCGGTGAAGAATCGTACGGCACCCGGTCCCGACAGGATCAGACCCGAACATCTGAAGAATCTTCCGCCAGTTCTTGTCAAAACTCTGGCTCGACTCTTCACGCGCTACCTGTCGGAATGCAAGGTACCCACCTCGTGGAAAACCAGCAAGACTGTGTTGCTGTACAAGAAGGGAGACCTGTACGACATTGGCAATTATCGCCCAATCTGCCTGCTGTCTGTAGTCTACAAACTCTTCACACGAGTCATCCTGAACAGGATTGGCAGAACACTAGAAAGGACAGCCATGCGAGCAAGCAGGGTTTCGAAGAGGATTCAGCACGATCGATCACATCCACACGGTAACGAAGCTCATCGAAGTATCGCGAGAGTACAAGATGCCGCTATGTCTCACGTTCATCGACTTGAAGAAAGCCTTCGACTCCGTTGAGACAGAAGCGGTTATCGAAGCCCTGGGCGATCAGGGAATTCTTACTCAG